TGACACATTTATTTATTTAATTGTGGCACTTTATATTAGTGACGTGGTTTTAATGAATGAATGACACATTTATTTATTTAATTCCACATTTAATTAATTATTGACACATTTAATTATTTATTTAATGCTGTATTAATTTATTTAATTTTGGTACTTTTTTCCTCCATACTGAATGGAGGTTATTAGTGTTAAAATGAATAATAACTCAGAACCAACTGCTTTGTTTTGCAGCATAATATTAATACATAAATACATGAAATTAACGTGGAGTCATCAGCACTTTAAGACACTGACAGTGGGAGGACTTTAGAACATTTTTAGATGTAGATCAGATTGGTGGAAAAGTATCGGCCGATAACCGATCTCCCAAAATTCAGAAAATCGAGGCTGTTCGATCGGCCGGTGGATTAATGGATGCACCCCTGGCAGGAAGCATGGAGCTCTGACACGGTTGAGACGCCGCGCTCAGACATGTACTCAGCTAGGTGTGCTGTCATTTAAGCAGGTCAGTAAATTATCTCAGTATTTTGCTGCTAAAATAAGATAATTATATAAAATGCACTTTAAATAAGATCACGGAAATGATGTTTTTTCCCTTTTTGTAATGCAATCGTCTCCCTACCTTCGCACATTTTTTTACTTACAAAATACACTTTTTTGGAGGAAATTTGAATTCACGTTTTGCATTGAATTTTTTTAAATGAGGTCTGGTAAATTTAGTCGCAGAAGTAAGCCGGCTGTACGAGATGGAATCTGATCTTTGAAGAGCAGAGTTCTCACAGTAAAGCATGGCAGTGGCAGCATCATTCTGATGGTATGATTAAGAGATTTGCCTTTAAAAGCTCTCGTCAGCAGCAGGGCTTCCTGTTGGTTTGATTGGTTTCCCTTCTTGAAGCCTAAAATGCTTCCAGAACGTCCCAAACTCTCAGCAGCTCCTCTGTTTCTTGTCTTTCATTGCTGGACAAATCCAGGTGTCGTCATGGTTACTGAGGTGCATGTCCTTCTCTCAGGATTTTAAGCTTTTTGATACTCCAGACACCAAGTGGATTGCCCCTATATTTCTCATTTCACCAGCTTAGTAGACAAACTGTGTGCATGAAACAAACGTGTTCCTAATTTTTTTTCGTGGGTCCCTTTAGTAGAACAGGCCATGAGAGTCCAGCTCATATTAGGATGATCTACAGCAGATTAGGAGGAGAAGGACTTCCTATGTTCATGTAAAAACGTGTGTCTGCTGTTTTTCATCTGCAGCCTTCAAGGTGACGGTGAAGTCCTCAGCAGCAGAGGGGGACTTTATGACCTACACAGCCACCGTAGCTGAAGTCCTTAAGAAAAGTCAAGGTGAGGCCCTGACTGTTACCATGGAGACGTGATATTTATTGATAGACCCAATGAATCTGGTGAAGATTCTCAGTCATCCAGGTCAGTTATTCCAAAAAAGTTAAAAAAACAATCCACTGGATTTAGTTTGCAGATGTTTTGCTTCCCATCTGCTTCCTTGATTGAAAGCAAAACGACTTCAAACTTGGAAAGAAAGTTTTCAAATGAACTGTGCAAAGCTGCTGCTAATCTTTCCCTAGACCTGAAAACTGAATGATAGGAATATTTTTTAGCTGACAGTGTAGTCAGTTAAAAACTCCCGTCTCTTTTTACTGCCGCTACTTTCTTCTTCTTCCTGTTTTTTCTCTTTGTTTCTAAAACTCTTAAAATCCCCTCGTTCCGTCCTCCCTGCTATCCTATGTCTCTGCGCTGCTTTGACAGACAACCCAAAAAAATATATATTGGAGGAGTTCAGACAATGCAACCTGAGGACATGAAGTATGCAAATTAGAAATTAGGCGATGGCGCCACCTAGTGCCTTTTAGGACAGCTAGTAGTTACTTTTCTTGCTGAGAAGTTGGCAAGACTGAAGCAGCGTTTTTATGGGACTCCAGGTCCAGAAAGTAAATCATTTCCTCTAAATAGATAAAGAAAAAATGTCGCTCCGCTCTCAGCGCCGTTCAAGGATGCGAAGATTAATCCGAGTAGCCAGATCCTCTAGCGCCTTCAGAGACTGAGGGTATTCCCGGGTGAAGAGTTCATCCTTGGTCCTGTCGTTCAGTCAGGTGATAAACACGTCCACGAGAGCTGCCTCCTTCCAGGGACTCTCTGACACTAGCAGATGGAAGTCGAAAACATGCTCCCAAATATACTCAGGGATCCTCTTAAAGCCTTCATCCTGAGATGAACTGCGCAGAAAACTTGGATTAATTCCTGTGAAAAGTCATCGTATGAGTAACTCAGGCTGGGATTGTTATGCCATACAGATATTCCCCACAGCTTCGCCTTTCCTGCTGACTGGGAATCTGTAATGTTAGCTCAGTGTGAGCGAAGGAAAAAGCAGGGTGGGGGTTTGGCACTGAGGCCTCCTGATGTCGCCGCACTGAATGGCTCGTTACCCAGGAGGATGTTTCATCAACCAGAGGACCGAGGCGAAGGGTGGAGCTCAGGATGTCCGGCTGAAATGGGCCGACCATGAGGCGGCTATCTTCTGAGATGCTTAGCTTAACATCTGATCTTCTCAAAAACTGTTTTGGGGAGGGAGTTGGATCATCACACTCTGGACTCCAGGGTTCAGTGGCAGCTGGGTTATGTCTTTCACCAGGTTCCTGCTGTTTTCCTGTGCTGCAGAGTTTGATGCAGTTGGTTTGCAGAGTGACTTGGACCTGATAAAGAAGGCCACCTGCAGTGGGGTCGACCTGCAGAACAACAAGCAGTACCTGGTGATGGGATCCAGTGGGTCGGAGGTCACAAATGGAGGCAGCATCAAGTCAGTGTCCCTCCACCTCAGCCTCACCTTAAGTTGTTCTTGTGTTTGCTGAGAACTCACCTGTTTCCCTGCAGGTATCGTTTGCCTTTGGACTCTGAGGCGCTGGTGGAGCTCTGGCCCACCTCATGCACGTCTGCAGAGTGTCAGGACTACAGTTCCCAGCTGGAGGGCTACGCTCTGGACCTGCAGCTGTTCGGCTGTCCCTGATCCATCACGGTTCAGCACAGTGGATCTTCCTGGACCGGGGCCTGTTTTATTAACACAATCTTAAAAGAAATATGATATCCAAAAAAAAAAAAACAGCAGAACTTTTCATCAAATTCTCATCAATATCAGCATTTTTTTTTATGTATTGAATAATAAAGTTTGTCTGAATGAGTTTTTTCTTTAATTTTTAACCAATTACTGATAAAAATGCATCCATCCATCTTCTCCCAGTTATTCCATCAGGGCCACAGATGGAGGCCGGTGCCTCCCATGCTTGGTTATTATTAAAGTCGCAGGGAAATCATATTTAAATGTCAAATCATTCTGGCTTAAACATGTATATAAATGTTCTCTTTATCAGACGATTTTGTCCCAAAAGTTAGAAAATTTCTGTTTAAAAAAAAAAAAAATCCTGCCTTAAAATCTGTGTTTTTTTTCGTTATCTTCAGTGGTGTCAAAAGTTTAGCTTGTGATCACGAGAGACCAGACGGGGCATTCAAGATGCCCGGTGAAGACTGATTGGCAAATTTTAAACATATGAGCGAAGTATGTGGGGGAACAACATATTTGTCCGTTTTTTTTAGTAACGTGTGTACGTATTTACGCAGGCTAGGTAAAATCCTTCTAGGCAATCTCATGTTGGAGAATCATCTCCATCTGGCATCTGGAGTTGAACCAGAGACCTCTTGATCTGAGTCAAATGTTCCACCACTGAGCTATACCCCCCAAATGAAGAGCGAGTTTAGGGATTTACAAGGAGATGGCATTGGAATGCATGACCACCCAAAAATAGTCACAGTTTGTCATTGGGTTTAATGCTGAACCACCGAGACAATCCTGCATGCTTAGCTGACTAAACGAGGTGGAAATACACTGTATGAATGTAATTTGCAGCGATGATGCTGATACTAAGCCTTTCTGATAAGCACCCAGCCTCTAAACAGAAATCAGGGGGGATCTGGAGTTGAACCAGAGACCTCTTGATCTGCAGTTAAATGCTCTACCACTGAATCTTCTTTTATTCTTGTATCTTTTCTGTATCTACAATCTTATTTTTCTCTCTTCTGTGAATGGTTGCCCTTTAAGAAAATCATTTCCTGCAATTTCAATATGTCATATTGAAATTGTGGGTCATTTAAATACACATACAGAATAATGGCACAGATTGAAACACTTAAACATATTGTTCTCCCATTAGTTTGTTAAAACCATTAAGTTATTTAGCATAAAAGGATTTATGGGTTAATTGGCAGCATTTATTCTCATGTAATATAAACTGTTATATATAGACTGTTATTATTATCATTCTTATTATCAGGTTTTCTCTCAGGTGGTTGTTGGAAGGTTGCAAAACCTTGAAAATAGGCTGGAACAGTCCTGCCAAAAGAAAACCTTGGACCTTGATCATATTCAGTTTCTCTGCATTGATTCATTGACTCCAATCATTTCTCTTTCTGCACATTTGAATATTCCTCCTCTGGTCGGTTCATTTTCTATCTTGTTCAAATTCTATCTCAACACGAAGATTAGAGATGAGGATGATGCAACTCAGGTGATAAAACTGAATAATATGGCCTCATCCAACTCAGTATTTGTGTAAAAACATATTCCAGGTACAGGAAACAGGTTAAAATAATGCAGTGAGAAGAGAAATTAACATAATCTAGAATCATAATCTGATCCTCTTTCACATCCACCGTAGATTCTTATGGAAATTTCAGCTGGTGTAGAGAAATGTGTCACTGTCTCTTTAAGAAAAACTGCCCGTTTGTTCTCTCCTATTGGACGGCGGAAGGGCTATCTCCTCTCTGATTGGCTAAGAGGGAGAGCCATCTTCGTCGCTCGAAGAGCAACAGATTGAAGGAGGAGCAGAAGAAGAAGAAGGGATGAATGTCGGAGAGTGAAAGAAGGATGAAGAAGAAACTGCTGTAAGTAAAAAACAAACTGAGAGAAGCTGAAAGCTCCGCCTGTTGACCCACGCGGGTTTATTCCCGCATCCTGAAACACGCATGAAACGGTGACTTCCAGAACTTCCTGGACTCTGACCAGCTAAGGGGAGGGGGGGGTCTGTATTCTCACTTATTGTACAATCAAAGGGACTTAAAGAGGACAGCAGAGGGATGCTGCTGTGTAGCTGGATAGGAAATACTTTGAATAAAAAGTCAAAAAGTAAAATTGGTTCCCAGAGAGCAGACTCGTTCTCACCATGTCTGTTCTGGAGAAGAACCCAGGAAAGTCTGGACTCTGGGAGAACAGGAGGTCCATTAGCACAGCAGC